ATTTTGGATCAATACATGAAATTAGATAGTGCTATTGAATACCCCATTTATATGAACATACTAAACATAAAGCATGTCAGCTTGCTAAACCTTGCACAATATCATAGCTGATTAAATAACGGTTATTGCAGAAAAATAATAACATTTTTCAACATTTGAATTGACTGCTGTGAAAGGGATAGGCCTTGACAAGAATGTTATTAAAATAGTGCCACTGTGGTGATAAAATTTATCTTGACCTTGATCTACATTATGTTGTATTACATTACCTTCTGATTAGTGTGGTTAATTAAGCAGGTGTCCCCCTTCTCATCAGCACTCTTTGATAGTAAACCTGCCTTCAATTTGCATCCATATTTCCAGGTGGCTTCACTCAGAGTAAGGCTTTATCTATTTTGGTTTTCACAGTTACTGCTCAATTTTAAATAGTTGACAAATTTATTCATATATTTATTCAGATATACAGACTATAAATGAGTTTTTTATCTTGTTTTTTTTCACAGTCATTACAGTTCTAAGGTGACTCTGCTTGTCGTAAAAGGCGACTAACAGGATCGGGTGGTCAGGCTCACTGACTTGGTTAATGCATGTCATCGATCCCAATTGCGTGGGTCGATGCTCATGATATTAATCACTGGATTGTCCCTTGAAAGATGTTTATTTTTGTGTATTATGATTGTATATTTGTCTTGTTATGATTTTCCTTAGTGCACATTTCTGTAGATCTGTATCTTCAAAATATGAGTGTTCAAGTTTAAATTCCTCAATATAATTTTTGTGTTAAAATTCTTCAAATTTCCAATTCAACCAGACACATTTCTCTGGTTTGCCAAAATTATGCATTTTCGGATGTAGATATGCGTGATAGGTTTGAAATGTCAGGAATGACAATATGTAATGTCTTATGCATGAATGTGTCCTACTTTCATTGCCATGTGTAATGATGAATGCAGACAGAATTTGGCAACCATTTTCAACCATGACATAACCTGTTTAATATCTTGTACTGACTTTATCATGCCAACAGAGCAATGGCATAGATTATTTAGACAGTTGTTTTGAAAATGTTATATATGACAGTATATATGACACTCTCTGGTCTCCTGGTGTTGTTGCTGCTGCAGTTATGATGGATGAAAGGGCGATCTTGATGTCTAGACTCCAAGTGGCAAGACCTTTTCATAGACTAATGCTAATGTCACATCACTTGGAACAGTCTTGGAACAGTCTAACTAATTTGACAGTCTGTATAAGCCACTGGTGTTTGGCTTTAAGAAATAAGTAGGTACCTAAGGCAGCAAGGTTTGCTTGCAGATCTAACTAGTTTTCACCAAGTCTAGACGATTTTCCTTTGTTGTGTTTAGTCTCCTCAAAACAAGAAATGTTCTGTTAGTGCTGTTTGATGTTCATTGACTTCAGATTGCGAGGTTGGTGGTATGGATAAATGATACTACCTATTTCGGCATTAATATGGAATGTTCATGTAAACAGTGTGAAGCATATGATCTTTACATGGTTTAAATAGGAGTCCAGTCCAACCAAATACCTCAAGATAGTAGATATAGTGTTTTAATTGTATATTAATTTTTCTGTGGCTATCGGAAAATATTGTTACTCAAGGGTTGTATTTGATATATGTATTGCTGAAGGTTGTATTGCAATAAACCGGTATACCAGTTACATCGCATACCCTTATCAGGCATTATTTTATTTTTCTCTCATAACCAGTAAAAACCATATTCATTAGTAATGAATAGAACAACCATTACAGATCTGCAGTGCAATTTGATGAAGTGAAAAAATCCATGTAGATTTTTATCATTAATATTTCATTAAAACTAGTCTATTTGCCTGCACATATATATATCTATTGCAGCTTATTTGATCATGATGGAGAACGCATGAAGAGTTTCAACAGCTTGTTTACCATTCAGCATTAATTTACACAGTGAGCACCTCATGACAAGCAGTGTTGACTTCTCCTAAACAGCATGAATATTACTCAATTCATATACAAACAAGTGTTTTGTATATGTCAAACAACTGTATGTGAAGAAACTATGATACACAGAAATTTATCAGGATATGTAATGTAATATCCTTAGATAGAATAGATTTTTCTGAGTGTTAATGACATGCTCCCCCAGGGATACAAACAACTGTAAGTTAGTGAGATTGTTATGTCCTTACAACATCACCAGCAAATGCACATCATGCTTGTGGTATGCTTTCCTAATCCTATTCAAACACAACAGGAACAGTGGTTACAAAATGAAAAATGACAATATGTTGAATTGTTTCTGTTTCAAAATTAATCTTTCCTTTGGCCTACAAAAACGTTAAGGGGTGATGTTGCTTGGTCAAACAGGCCACAATCAGGCTTGGATTTACGGCAATCAGATGGAATACTGACACCAACCCAAGTCATAATTTGTCACCAGCATTCAACATTCCAATCAACACTAAACTGCAACAATCAAATGACACTAGCAATGCTACTAAACCCCCAAAATGACTTACAAACCTATAAAGCACTAGGCATATATCTAATCAAAACAGGCCTATTCCGCCGCATCTAAAAAAGTACAACAAACAAGCTGTTAATAAATCCTAAAATTCTAAACCTATAAAAACACACACTCACAAAACTCCATTTAGTCCTATCCCACCCCCACATGCATGGCATATTTCAAAATTCCAAATTTGTTCTACAAATTAAGCAACCCTAAAAGCACCTTTTCGTTTCGGACATACCCTTTTTGACCAATCACTAAATGGCCTTGCAGGCCTGAAATACTCATATGTCAGAAAGCGCACGTTAAATTCCCAATTTTAGTAAGTAACATAATAGGGTGGACACTGTTCCACATCTCTTGGATCACTTCCACAACAAATAACATAGCTTGTATGTTGTAAGAGAAGACACTTTACATACATAAATCCTCTATAAAGTAGCATCTTTGAGCAGGCAGATATATGATGCATTGTGAACATTCACTTCAGCTATAAATATCTTTTGCAAAGGTAAAGTTGTCTTGCTTCGGAATGACTGTCTTGCAGCTTCAGTGATTATGAAAATTTGCTAAAAGTTGACATTTGATACCTGTCAGTTTTGCCCTACTGATAATGATAATGGCAAGGGAAAGCTGAATGTTTTATTGAAACATTACTTTGATTATTGATTACTGTGATTCCCTATGGGCAAATTTAGAGATCTGTTTACTGAACCTATTTTGTTCTACAATGGTTATCACTGAGTATTGACTTCTGCACAAGACTTTGAGAATATTGACTTTTTCTTGCAAGAAATGCTTGTGCAGTGTCATAGTACTTGCTTTTTCCTGATGGTACCATAATTTTGCAGATATGAGCCCATTAACCTATCTTTAGACTTAATTCATTTGTCAAACGTTTTGGGGCAGGCTCAAGATATCCACTGTTCATAACAGAATAATTGATATCAATTAATATGATGTTGATCTGGACTGAAAGTCAAGTGAGCTTAAGTCATGGTCTGTTTCTCCAGCGTCCAGCAGCATTGGTGTCTGTAGACATCTTCTCCTCAGAGAACCAGTGAAACTGAAACTAACATCCTTGTTGCTGCCAATGATGACACCTGCATTTGTTGAAAGAGCTTTGAATCTGATTTTCAAGTTGGTCACAGCTGCCGTATTAAAAAAACCACTATTGACCATTACTTGCTCATATTTGTTGAAATGTAATGCATTTTTGTGTATATGGGCTCAAAATACATCTAAAAGCACTATTAAAGATCCTTCCATTTCTGAGCTGTATGGGTCCCAAATGTAGCTTTCCCTGTACTTCTGATACCTGGCCCATCATATCCACAGGTGATGGTTACTTGACCCATAATTATACTCACATCACTCTGAATGTCTGTAGTTACTGTGTTTACCTAGGACAGAGATCTATTCTTGATGATTAATTGACACATCGTAATGTGACTCCAATTGTGTACAGACTGCTCATTACTATCCTTTTGAAGGGGAACAGTTTTGAAAGAAGACATGCTCATACATATTTTCTTTGGTTGTTTGTCTCCTGTCTCATAGGCATTCACCAACAGAATTTGTCTGACATAGAAGTGTGATATAAAGCCCATATCAATGAATGTTATGTGTTCCTCTGTTGACACTTTGCCACTACCAATTATATTAGTCAGGTTCAGGTTCTGTATGAATGCTGTTAACCTACTTTCTGTTTGCACTGGCTTAAGGACAGTTGAATTAACAATGTAGATCTCTTTGCTTCAGCTGTTGAGAATGTCAGTGAAAGTAAATATTATTTTCTCTCTCTCTACAAACATACTTTTGCCAGATTTATGATTTATAACCTGTATTATATGAAGCTAATTTTCAGGTTAGAAAGACCGAACAGGGGTAAAAACAATTTGAAACAAGGACAAACATTTATATGGTTTGTTTTAATATCTATCCATTTGTATCTGGCCAGTATTTGTTGAGATTGCTTCATTGTCAATAACACAAACAGGAAGGTCAACTGGGTCCCACCAAATGTTCCTGGAGCATTAGCCAATTATCGAGGCACAAAATGTCTTCACTAATAAGGAAACTTATAAAGAGTACTAACTCTACATAATATATGTATATGTTGAGAATGGATGTTCTGACTTCAAAAGAATTTGTTTTATAGTAAAAATATATTACTTGCATAACTTGAATGAACAGATCACTTGAGCATGGTGCATTGCCAGTAATTCTTGTCCCACTCATTATGACTATTTTGTTACATGAGTGGAAATTTGTATCCAAATGTTTCTAATCACTAGATTGATCTAACATTTCTGTGTTGATACTGTTATGGGTGTTTTTCAAGATTGAACAGAAAGAGAGATCTTGAAGAAAAATTGTCATCGACTTTCAGTGGTATAATGAAGCTTCTACAAATATCTTCTACAGCAAACTGGCATACATTAATTATTTAAAATTATTCTGCATGTTCTATTTCTTTCGTTTCAGCTCCCTTGCTGATGACCTACATGTCAGTGATGACAGTGAAACAGAGCAAGTATGTATGAACTTTAATATCTGATATTTACATGACACGACAATAAAATCCTACTTGACACAGCAGGGTCATTATGTTTGTCAGCCAGCTCTCCCTAGGGATTCGCCTCATTGTTTTCAGGGAAATAAACATGGTAAAAGTCCATTCCACATGATAATGGCTTGCTGTCAAATGTTTTTGTAATTTCATGTAATGGATCAAAATGCATTCATGTAAAGTAAATGGATGAAAGAAAATCTATCATGTGTCATTTTAATGAATAATTACAAGTTTTGGAAGCCTATTGCTAGTCTGCAGTATATTTTCCAAATATTTAGAAAAATGATGGAAAATGTGTGATGTTTTTGTCTGTTGTTACAGTCCATGGTCTCATCATTGCATTAACAGTGCAGTACATCATAGGGGTTGGAGTTAGATTTTCTTAGTTTCTGTTGTCCATGGCTTTTCTGTTATATATCAGAATTGAGTAATGATGACTTGATATGATATGTAGCTTGTTTGGTCAATAACATCCACAGGACATCAATGTAGATTTTAAAATGTTGAACTTGTTAGTCAAATTGTATGAGACACTGTGATTCAATCATTATGCTTCTGTTCTATTTCTGTACTTTTGCCCACACATTATTTTCAGTTTGAAGTTGTATAGGCGTCAGGTGTCAATGTCTATTTACCAATCCTTCTGCCTGCAGTAGGATTAGGAAGGTAGCATGCAAGTGTGGCAGATTAAATTGAAACGCATGCACCCACGCACGCACGCACGCACACACACACGCACACTCACACTCTCTGCATGTTTTTTTATTTTACTTCAGATACTTACCATGACAACATGTGAAATGTTCTATAATGAGAGGTTTGAAACATGACTTGAATTCTCAGTGAAACTGTAGTTATGTTGTGTTCTGTAAACTAACGCCAACAGTCATATATGTTTTTTTAAAAAAGCAGTAACAACAGCAATGAAACTGTGGTTGTTAAAAATATATATAACCTATTGTGCCAAGCAGAGGGAAGATGATGTTGCAGTACACAAGTTCAGATTGCCCACAAACCTGTGTGATAGTTACGGATGTCATTGTTTTTCGCGGTATCAATGTAACAATAACGTTTTAACTCTTTCATCACTGGCTGCCCCAGAGTTATGTCCCTTGAGACCCTGCAGTCCCTGACACTGACAAGGCCTGTACACTGGCCTCCCTGGCAGTATTATTGGAAAATCACACTATCATTTTTGATGCACTTTTTCTACCAGAAACTTGCTTTTAATATACATTTATCATATACCATTGTAAAGAGGATTAAGTATACTTTAATATTCTTTATTGTTATTGTCTCTAACCTTTGTTATTTTCTAATTACAGGTGTTTACAAGTGAAATAAAACTTGAAAACACTGAAAAAATGAAAACAGACAATGAATTTTGGCTCAAATTGTATTAAAAATCACAAAAATAAATCACAGATACAAGGTAAACATAACACAGTGGTCTTGTCATCTTGGACGGCACAGGTAATCCCAGGTGTTACAGGTAAATTCTCTTCATGCACATCTGTAAACAAATAAACAAGTTTACAACTCTTGGTACTGACTTTGTTTTCTATACTGATGTCACATATTACTTATGATACACTTACAGCCTCTTAGGTAAACTCGTTAACACAGGTAAACTTGTTAACGCAGGTTAACTCGTTAACACAGGTAAAAACACAAATATTTGATTTATTTTGTTCTTTTTCAGGATTTGAAACAAAAATTAAGTTTTTAAGTTTTTAAATAGTAATTTATCACATTACCTGAACATTGAACCACAGCTACTATAAGAATGACATCACAGAGAAGATATCACAGATTGATCTGAAAGGAGGGAAAAATTGTAAAAGGATGGAAAGATCGTAAATTCAAGTTCTGCAAATATACAAGTTGTGATAACATATTTACAATACACTGTTATTTACAACTGCATAATAAATTAGATGAGTACTTTATTACATCAATTAATAAATAAATAATCATTACAGTTACTAAAATTTAAATTAAGATGTAAAAAAACAAGAAAACAAACATGAATATGGAAATAAATTTTATTCAAATTGAGTGAAATATAAGGACATACGACAAACCGGCAAACTACAATTCGGATTGCGATCAGAAACTTAAATTTAAAAAAAAAGAAAGAGATACGTCATGCCATTCACCTTTGTTGTTGTTGTGATCACTCGTTCACCTGTAGGCTGCATTCTCATTCGTCGCACTGATAATCTGTTCAAACACAGAATCATTGTAAAACAGTTGGAAAAAGTCAATAGCACGATATTTCACTCACCGTGTCAATATATATTCTTGAGTCCGGTCGCCTCTTCAAAATCCCTCATGTCTCCACCGTTCTTGGCGCGGGGGGGGGGGGGACATCTCGTCGAAACAGTCAAAATCTTCACCAAAATCTTCACGAAATTCCCTCTCCCCTTCACGTAAATTATTCAAATCAAACACATTATTATTCCCGATAGAGTCGTTGTTAGTCATCTGATCGCTATCCGAATCGTAGTTGGCCGCCTTTACGCTAGATTTACGATTCAAGCGAGAAAAATACCTGTCGCGAAAACAGGTGACATTCGCGATTTTCGCGCCAAAAAGACTGGGAAATTCCATCGAATGACGTGTCAATCACGTGTAGATCTTGTTTCCATATTTAGAACGAGATTACACACGAGAAAGGAAGTTGAAAGAGCGATTTTGTAAACACGGTCGCGCCGCCCGATTTATCGGGCAGCCGTGTCTGGGGCTTGGACAATAGCCGCCCGATTTTTCGGGCAGCCGGGTCCTGGGACACGGTTTATGCTGCCCGATAAATCGGGCAGTCGGGGCGAAAGGGTTAATGTCAGTGCTCTATCGATAAAAATGTATGAATATTGATACCAAATTCATAATTCAGTGCCACAGAAATGTTTACAGCTGTTTCGATGACCATAGATGAACTATTAGAAGGCCATAAATTCAAAACAAAAAGAATGGCATGATTTTTCATCAGTAAGTATTTTGATCTTAAAGTAAATACTGAAAACTACCCCACTTGCTGACCCAAGCATTGGGACCAGGATGATAAGCCAGTGCCTTGTTACTCCTGACCTGTGTTGAATGAACATTGGACATGCAACATTAGTTATGTAAACTGGCCCAAACACTAATTCTTCACATGTTCAACAAAATCTTATCTTCACTCCTAAAACTTGGCTATGGAAGGGCATAAGGCATGTGATGGGTTTCATTAGATGGGACTCATTCATAATTAGTCACAATGAAGCTAGCACGGCAGGCATTCTGTGATATGATTCCTCCCCATAGGCTGTTGATTATCCTCATTGTTTAAGAAATGAATGGCTTGTTAGTTACTGAAATGAGACTAGCTGGTATTTGTGCATCTATCAGGTCCTCCATGACATTGTTTAAGTGGTGCTAGTTTCAAAGTTTGTGTGGGGGTGGAGTGACTTGTCACAACTTGGGCAAGGGAGACTAAAATAGATCTTACATTTAGAAATGGATGACACTTTGACTGGCAGTCTGATGCAATAGAGGAATAAGTTACTTTCAGCTTGTCTGGACATTTTGTCCCACTTTAATTTTTCAGAGATTTTAGATAGATATGTCACATAAATTAATCTGGAATTGGAAAGAAAAACAATGAGACAGCATAAATTGTGTGTCTCCGCTGCTTTTATTGATTGAAAGGAATGCATTTTCTTTGTCCTTGAAAGCGGAATCAACATTACGTTAATCATTTGGATTGCACCTTGAAAAATAATGTTATAGCTAGATTTCAAGATTACATTGACTACCCATTGGTATAAAATCTAAAGTTAATATTAATTTCAATGGAAAAATTTGAAGCAATTTGTCATTAATCAGTTGAGTGACAAGTCTCAGCTGGAGAATACCATTAGTGGCAAAACCACTGCATGCACAAAAAAAATGGTTTGACAAAGTGATGAATGATCTTTTCATGCATGTTGGTTAATAATGTCCTTTGTAATTTCAAAAATTTGCTTGAATAGAATAGATCCCCAATGCCTAATGCATGTAAAGCTGTGCTAACAAGAAAATGTGATAGTTGTGATGTTTGACAAGGCTGATCATCTTTGTACCCCAATGACCTGGGAGGTTACTCATTTATCAAGCACTGATCTGCCTTGTTCAGGCCCATTTATTGCTGATTGAAAACTAACTTTCACTCATGCTAATACGCTTGGCTCTTTTTGTTTCTGGAGCAGAACTATGAAATCGCCAGCAATGTCTTTTTGGAACTTTGCACGTTTATTCACTAAGTGGTATATTGAATTTGGCATGATTTGTACATTCTGTCCTTTGAAGAACATAAAGTAAGAACTGGTCTTGAATCTGGAGCACCTTCGAGGTTTTAGGGTAGATTGAGTCCAAAGTACCACCAGCAAATGAGGATCAGGATTAACTGTATGTGCAAGCTGGCTGATTGTGTGTCATTGGAACACCACAGTGTTGATGTTGTTCATAGTCATATTGCTGACTGTGGCATTATGCACATTCACTTGTGACCAGGGCAAAGCTAAAATAAACCCTTAAAGATATCCTCATTAAACTTAGTGGGGTAGGTAAGTGTTGCTTTTGGGTCTGAATTGTTTTTGTCTTCTCATTTTAGGGGCAAAATCAAAATTATCCTTAACATATGACAGGATGGCAACAAAAATACTCTTCTCACTACGGTATAAATCCAAAAATTTGGTGGTTGAATGACAACATTCTTTGTTAAATTCTGCAGTAAAAACATAACCTTTTCCCCCTAAAAAATTAATACAAACTCATCTTTCAAAACCTCGAATCCAAATCCAAAACAATTAATTCTGCTAAGTATCATTATAAACTGTTATTTGGTAATACATAAAATTATGCCAATAAATATGCATAGTGTCACTGCTATTTATTTCTAGGTTAGATGTAAACATAGTTTATCTTGTCATATTACCACAAGAACATTTATGATGAGAATGATTTGCAAATGTCATTGCAGGATTCATATTTTGTATGTTGAATCACATGTTCAATTTTTGGGGGCATAATTCAAGTGCAAAATTTGATAATAAAGTTTGAAGGAAATTTTTTGTATTGATTGAATAAAAAGTGCACATTCCGAGACTTTTCTGCTTTTCTAAGTTGTGTTTTCTGCAAATCTTTCAACGGTAGTGCAATCACAGAATTTGTATGGGACTGCTAGATGGCAATATTGGATGTTTCTTTCACAATATTAATTTACCTAAAGTCTAGAATTAGCTTTCAGTCTAGTTTTGAAACACATTGTGCATTAGTTCTCAATAATGTGAAAGCACAGTTTTGTGAAGAACATTTCAAATTGTTTCCTAATGTTAGATAGAAAAAGAGTTGTTAATATATTTATGTTGTCTGGTTTCCATTCTAATGTATGAAGATGCTTGTTGAGATTCACAAGACATTCACTGTCTCCAAATTCTGCTCTCTAACCAGACTATTTTGTCATTTAACATGGTAAACATAATACTTTGATATGGGAATTTAATGTAAATAATATAGTACATATCTTTTTCAAAGCCCATTTCAAATTTTTTTTTTCCGTTTATATTTACAGTTTTAATAATGGAATCATTTTTAAAGAAGGCCATGATGTGTGGTGGAGTTTTTTAACAAGAAATGAAAAGCCTAATATTAATAAATTGTACATGATAGAAATTATAATGTTAAATATAGACAAGAGAAATAATATATCAGTATTGTCTGCCAACATGAAAAGTCAATTGATAGGTTGTCTCACAGACAGGTATGTTCATGTGCTAATAATTGTTTGTAAATTTAGTGCTAAAATGAAGAAATGTGGAAAAGGAAATTGTGCTATCCTGTTACGAAAACCACTGGAGTTATGTGTTATTAAACTGCTACAAGATATCCCAGCTCAATCTTTGTTTAGCAGCTGGGTTAGCATACCTAGCATGGCCACTCAAAGGGAGGGGTGATAGCTGGCATGACACTCATTCAAGTGACAAAACACGAAGATCATAGTCAAAATTCCATGTCACTTTCCCAGTTTCATTTTGTGCATGCTCTATTTACTCTCAGGCTCAGCACAAGCCCCTGCAATTACCCCACCCATTTAATTTCTGAGAAACTCATACCACCCTGTCTCCCCCTTTGGAGGAAATGAACGCGACCACATCTCATATTTTTAGTGTGGCAAATGACTTGTTCTAAGGGCACACCGTGACTGTGTTGTGGATTTCCGGCAGAGTTTCCGATTCAGGATTACTTTCTATGGGGAATGTTTGTTAAAAATGACACTTTGTTCCTATCTTACCTTCAGGTACCCATGGATATCCCATCCATTAAAGCCCCAAGCGTGATAGCTACTAAGAAAAGGTAAGTCCTCATTCCACCTTCAAACCATTCACATTTGTTTCTATGGCGACACAAAACCATTTAGGATAGCAGTTACTTTTACAAGCTCGCTGTTTACAAATGTATGGTAGACTAAACAAGCTTTACTAACCTAGGAAGAGGAAGAAACCCATAAGGTGAGGTAAGTGTTTGTTGATGTTTTTGATCCTGCAAACAATGACGGAGGTAGACCACCAACTGACTATGCCAAGTGGTGTACTTTTGTCACAGTATGCCTTGTGTATGTGAGTGGACACACACTGTAGGCTGTACATACTATTATAACTGTGTGATAGTCATAAATCCCAGCTGCTTCCTTTGTTTATGTTCAGTTTCCTGTAATAGATTTAAGGTCAAGTTGCTAGACAGGCCTGACTACACATCTTTACTGCTGATCGTAAAGCTAGGCATTCATACAAGTTAGACACAGTGCTTGCATATTTGTAGGCATTTTGAAGCCATTTCAATTTTGATTTTTGAAATTAAGAAAAGATTTCATGGTTTAGGACCTTGATGATGTATTATGTTATTTTAGATGAATTTTTTATTGTATCTCGTATGTTGAACATTAAGTAATTATGCTTCCGTATTCTGATTTTTCATGCTACAGACAAATGTAACAGTTAAGTTATGATTTGTTGGGGAGGATTATGTTAGGTTATGGTAAAAATAATGTCATTAACTATTTAACTTGTGGATGTCTTTATGACGGAAGAACAATTTTAGTGGTACGCTATGAAAGTTGTCTGTTATGAATCTTATGATAGTTTGATAAAAAGATTGGTTATTGAAAGGCGATACATGTTGCTTGTGGCAAGTTTGCCTGATGAAATTGCGGATTATGATCTGTAGAATAATAATCAATATTGTCCTGGTTGCAGCAATGGCTAGCTTGTACATTTAGCATGATTGAAAACTACACCATATCAAGTTGGGCCAAACTCATCTAGATATCATGACTAGTTATTTGAATCTGATAGTTTCGGCTCAAAACTGGAGTATATGATGGAAAATAGCAATTTACTTGCAGCGTGTCAGTTTCAACAAGATATAATTTGTATTACGCACTATACATCACATTTGTTAAATATTGATTACCAAATGTCGCCCAGCCATTGTGGATGGAGACAATCTGCAGGGTTTCAAATAATTTTATGCAGCATAATAAGAGAGTGTTTCTGTAAGAGATGAATAAAGACAGTTTACACCTGACACCAGAAATGACATTTATTAAACCATAGCGAATGGAAAAAAATACTATGACGGTGGTGCTGTATGTGATCTCATACCTGTCCACTCATTCAAACAAATAATAACATTTTTATATGTAATATCAATATGCCTCAGAAATATATGTCTTATGGTCAGATTAATTCCAATATAACATTAATATGATACTGAAATTTTACCTCCAACTCACTTCCTGAAATTCTTTTTTTTTTGTAATCTTGTGAGGAACTGGTATTATTAATTTGTATGTTGAGATGATTATTAATGAATATTAAATAAGAAATCTCCCTATGAGGGATCTGGTGATTTGGCAGCCCAGTGGCTCCTGTGCATGATGTCAATCACTGGATTGTCTGGTCAAGACTCAATTATTTACAGACTGCAGTAATATATCAGGAATATAGCTGAGTGCAGCGTTAAACAACAATTAAACAAACAAATGTTCAGTTTGATTAATTTTATGCCAAACAATTTTTGAGTTTCATTTTTGTTCATGCAAAAAGCCTGCCTCTGATTTCTGACATTCTTTTCAATTTGTGAAGTCCAGTCTTGTATTCCATGTTGGGATATTCATATGAAGTGGAAATGTAGGTTCTTCTATGCTGTGATTTGGCAATATAGAAATAATTTTGTTCTTATTCAGGGTCCATTAGAGTCACAACCAAGGCTATGATGTGATTTGTTAGCAACCAGTGCCAGTTTAGAAGGTGGTAGTTAATTTCATTGGTGACATTAATTACAGACATCTTTCCTTTTAGTATTTATGGGTCAGGGCCTAGATTTTCAAAATGATGGTAGCCTAAGATAAGATATCGCAAGATTGTCATAAATCTAATATAGACCCATACCTGTGGTAAGTTTATTTTATCTCCATCCAAGATACACAAAACATACCTTTTCGATAATTTGGGAAGGAAAAAAACGGAAGGTGTCAGCAGGCTATGGTAGTGACCGTGACCTTGACAAGGAAATACATATGATCAAATACGTTTATATAGTATATTTGTATAAAGAGTATATTTAATGTTTTTCTAGCAAAAGTAATTGTATTTTGTTTCGTTTTGAAAACAACACCAAAGTTATCTATTTTATTGAAAGAAAAATAAAATATTTCATAACAAGTAATTAAATATTGTCTGTTGAATAATTGCATTCTTTGAAAACAGGTGATTAACGCCATAGATGTATTCCATTGAGACTAACATCTAGTCTCTGAAATAAAGATATTATAGAGAAAAAAACAGTTGTTCAATTATCTTAATAAAAATATAATAAAAGGGAGCCCTGAGACTCATTTTCAGTAGTAATCTAGACTTGCCAAACATTATAGACTTGCATGGGCTGTATTTGATATATATTTGTATCAGGGTCTGTAAGACAGACTATATTCCATTAAATATAGCAATTTATGGATATTTTGACAGCAAAAGTTAAGCACATAGTTTCATATTGTATTGTATTTTCGAGAATGGTGATTAAAAAAAATCAATAAAAAAGAGGGTTCCCATGCTAGTTATGGTTTTTAATATGGTCAAAAAGTAACGTATTTTGAACAGTCCAAAATTCACTTTCCAATATATTTTTTGCAGAAAATGTTTATTGAATGAAATTTATTGATCAATATAAAATAGACATTTTCACAACAATAATCTTTGAATTTTGCGGAATAATCAGTTTAAGCTCTCCTTAATTCAAAGGGATAGAAAAGGACTACATTATATGTATGTTCATGTTAACTTGTGGCATTTTCCATGAGAACATAACTTGACAATTCCTAAATTATCTCCCTCTGTAAGTGAAAATTAATGTCACTTTCAAATTTTGATAAAAAATATGGATCTAGATAGAATAAAAAGAAAAATTACACCTTCTAAAAACAAATAGCTTGATATTGTATTTGAGTGCTTTTTTTATTCGTGAAGTATATTGGATATGTAAATAACAAAAGAACCGTAAATTGTCATTATAATTCGCTTGTGGTTGCACTGCTTCCTGAACAATTTTTGTTTTGAGTGTTTCCAGGTATAATGTTGGTGTTTTTTCTATAAACTTGACTTTTCATGTAAACACGAAAAAAACAAGCAGTATTGTGATTTGACTTTGTACGCAATGTGTTGACATAAAGTACTGCACGCTCGCGAGAGGATAATTTGAAGGGAATATAGTGAAGTATCTCTTTTGCACATTATTTCAATTCTAATAGCTATATTGTGGTAACACAACACTTATTGATTGGGTTTGAAAAATGCCTTTGCATGGCACACGAATAGTAGTCATCTTTTATCATAAGAACAAAACGTCTACATGTAGGACATATACAGGATAGTACGGAATGTTACTCAAATAGTTGCGTGGTAAACAGTGTGACCTGACAATGTGATCCTGAATTCCGTGTCACTTCTCCATGTGTATTGCGGAGTGCAGCGTTAAACAACAAACAAACACTTCTCGATGTTGTTATTGCTAGTGGCTAGGAAATCCACTTGACGTCACTGGGAAACACCCCGCCTTTTCAGTCTCTAACACAAATGAGTTCTCTGTCAGAGTTACCAAAGGCTCCATAGCTCTGTACGATCTGCGACAGGTTTACGATAGTTTCTAAAATCTATCTTATCTTAAACTTAAGATATCTTATCTTTGAACGCAAGTTGTTAACATTAATTGTAGCTAACATCGTTTCGAAAATCTTGACACAGAGATGCTTGCCTGTCTATATCAAGTTGATGTTAGTGGTAAGGGAGATTCTGATGTACCCCAATAACTGACATATCTCTTTAAACTGTCACTGGCATGGTCTGTTTCCAGATGTGCCTCTTTGTTGCTTCATGACTTTTCCTTCTGAAACAGACCGTGTCTGTGGTCTTGTGGTAGAGCATGGGCCTGGAGAGCGGAAGGTCAGGAGTTTGACGTTAAGAAATGGTACTTGTTGTTACCCTGCCTTGCACAGTGGCTAAAAGAAGGACTTGTAGGCTCGGAGTCTGTATACTGTGACTGAGTGGGGTATTCATGTTCAACTGCGGCATGGTATCTCAGTGGACTAGCACTATAAAATAAAGTGTGGTCTGTACTAGTACGCACACACAAAAGCACATCGCTATATAAGTGCAACAATCTTGAACGTGACATTAAACCCCATTTCACCTCGTCTCACCGCACATCCTTCTGAAACACACATGTTGAAAACATGAAAGAAATAATTATCTTCATGATGAGAAGACCCATGAAAATATTACCAATCTCAATAAGAACTTGCGAAGACATTCATCGTAATTGAATAAAGACAGTACATGAACCCTGACTGGGTCAATATCAAAGAGATTAAAATCAAATTGTATTGTGTTGCACTACCTTGAATTCAACTGTTTCCTTGAGTTAATTAGCAGTTATGCTGGTTAGAGATAGGAGGACCATATGATGTGGATGAGACTGATTTAACAGACAAAGACAGGTATTGATCTGAACCCCCTGCTTGGTTGGATTGACAACAGGGAGCAGTCATGTTTCCATAAAACAAGCATGCACTGGTTCAGCACAGGCACCTCCTCTAGGTGAACAGTGCTTCATACTTCACATACTCAATAGTACAGCCCAGATGCTGTTATTGTGTCAATATTCCTGTTAACTGGTAAATCTGTCAGTTTACTTGATTAATGTCAATGACTGTCATGACCAGGTCATATCTGAAGATGCTGGTTTTGGATGTACTGATTTATTGGCCGAGGTTACAGTTTAGGCTTCTCTATTATTGAGAG